TTTTTTTTTTTTTTTTTTTTTTTTTTTAAACTATACTATTAGCACAAACTTGATAATAAATGATAACTTGACCTGGGCCTCACTACTGTCTCAATGTCTTTGTGTATCTGGCTGCTATAACAAAATACATGAGACAGAGTAGGTTATAAATAAAAGAATGTATCGCTCAGAGTTCTGGAGGCTGAGAGACCCAAGGTTAAGTTCCCAGGCAGGTTGGTGTCTGGGGAGAGGTCTTCTGAACACACGTTTGTTTTCATTGTGTCCTCCCAATGTTTCTTTTACAGGGGCATGAATTCCATTCACTAGGACTCTACCCTCAAGGCCTTTTTCTCTTATGGGCTTTAACTCTTCTTCCTGTTATCACTGTCACAATGAAGGACACATCTCAGGGACACACATATTCCAACATTGAGGGCACAGGAAGATTGACAGGGACTGGTACAAATTCTACCCTGTTTAAAGAGATAGCTACCACTCAATTTCAGCCAATTGTTACCATGAGGGAATTTGAAGACAAATCAGAAATCTGAATTTTAATGTAAAAGCCTACCTGTTGACTATTAATTAAAAAATTGAAAACAACAAAAAAATATAGGTTTACATTTTCTTTTGGTCTTTTGTGTGAACTCTCTTGACCGATCCAACTGCTGGGGCCACCCAACACATATATTTTACTTGGAAAACCCATACTCATCCTTTAACGTGTTGACATACCAATGACACCCATAAGTATACACACTTATTTGTTGCCAAGTAAAAAAACTGTAAAGAGCTACTTCTGGCAATAATGCTACTCAACCTCTACCTTCAGCTCTTGACTATATCAAGTTTTCCTGAAAGGTATTTCCATAATAGGGGCAATACAGTGAATCAGTCTGTCCTCAGTAGCACTTATTTCACTGTATTATAATTGCCAATAATTATGTCTTTCCCGTACGTCCATATTACTGTAGCTGGTGAAGCCTCTGGATGACTTTAAGTGTTCAGAACTGGTCTATACTTGCATGACATTTATGGATTCATTATTTACTTATTTTGTCTATGAATTCAGTACCAAGCATGGTTCCTGGCACATCTGTAAGTGATGGTTGTGCTCTCCCACATGCAGAGCTGTGAGCACTGCATCTTCTCTGCTATCCTGGGAACCAGTTCATTTACTGGTAAGATTCTGCCCCTCGACCTTTTCCTTTTCTTAATCTCTAGGCTTTGCTCAGCCACCACTGAGCTCTGTTCTCACCATAAATGTGAGGTGTGTGTGTGTGTGTGTGTGTGTGTGTGTGTGTGTAGGGGTATGGAATCTTGCTTGCCTTTTGTATAAAAGACCAGAGTCGGAGTTAAAAGCAGATCCCTTGGGCAGAATCATGCGTGTTTTGACATTCTGTATAAAACCATTCAATGCCTCTCTCTCTCCTATCCAATTCTGTTTGTCCGCTCTGTACTCATGACTGTCTGGCCCCACTGGCCCCGTAGACACTCCTCAGAATTCAGTGAAATGCGCCAAACACTTTTGATAAATAAAGGCGATGTACTCAGAGAGACAGTTCATTACAATGACAACTTCAGGTAAGATCTTGGTATTACTCAAAGCCAGTTCCTCAGAGTAAATATTCTATTGTATTTGTTCAGAGGCCAAGTTTTTTTTTTCTTTCTTTTAAAATCTGTCTTTGATTCATCTGTTTAATTTCTGATATTCTATATGAAGTCTGAGAGGTGTTTTAGGCACATGTTAAGGGAGAAGATAGGTTGTATTTGTATGTGTGTGTGGGTGTGGGTGTATGTGTGTGTACATGTGCATGCAAGAACCCACACATGGAGTATGGGTTAAATAAGGAGGTGTGTGAACTCTTAGGGCAGAGGTGAATATGCAGATCACAGGATATGTGCTTGCTGCCATTGACCGGTAGTGTTCAGCAGACAGTGAGGGGACTAGGCTTAGGCTGCTCCTAGGCTGACAGTGGTGATGGTGGTGAAGGTGGCAATGTGATGGACAGGAGCTGCTGGGGCAGCTGCTGTGTCTCTCAAGCTCATTCTGTTTCTCTCCATGGAACCCCTCCTCTTCCTTTCTCTCAGTCCTGGAGCCTTTTATCTATTCCAGTGGCAGCAACAAAGCCTGGTCTCAGCCTTTCTGTTTTATACCTGGACCAGTGGGTGTTGAACTTGCTGTTTAAGAATATATCCTCTTGTATTCTGATTCTTCAGTGTCTCCTTTATCTCCAAGCAGGAGGGAATGCACATCTAGTGTCTGGGCAGAAGGGGATGTTCTCAGAGTAACAGTGAAGGAATCCCATGACAGAAGATATGAAGGAAAAACAGACCAATGGCTTATCTTATGCCCACAGGTACATGTCCTGTTATACTTGCTTGTAAATATGTTCAGAATTTTGATGGGATAACATCTTTAGGGAGTAGACTTCTTAAAAACTTAGGCATATAAATTAAATTGACCTTAAAACATATGGATGAGGGGCTGGAGAGATGGCTCAGCAGTTAAGAGCACTGGTTGCTCTTACGGAAGACCCAGGTTTGGTTTCCAGACCCCACATGGTGTCTAACAACCTCCTGTAACTCCAGTTCCAGGGGATCCGATGCCCTCTTCTGACCTCTGCTGGCATTGCATGACATTGGTGCACTTGCATACATGCAAGGTGATACATTCATACCCATACGATTAAAAAAATAATAAATAAAATATTAAAAAATATGGATGAGAGCTTGCATCACCCTGAGTCTGCAAAGTGGTTTTATAGTTGATATGACCTTCATACCCAGCCTGTGAAACAGGAAGGGAGCACAGTAAAAGCTCAGAGAGGCTAAGTGACATCCACAGAGCTGCAAAGTGAGTAGTGACACAGGGATAAAACAGAGCCCCCTTTTAGGGTTCTTAGTCTCATTCATAAAAACATTTATGGATGAGCTCAAACAGAATCTTTAGGGCAATTTTTATTAGACTTTGAGGGAAAATTCTTGGGGCAGGTAAGCCATAAATCTCAGCAGCTACCTTAAGGAGGAGAATGGAGGGGCGAAGGAAAAAAACCATGAAGCCATGCAGGTGTAGATCCTGCATGGAGGTCAGACAGACACATGACAGTCTGGCAAGCATATGGCAGAGAGGGGAAGGGAGCCTTAGAGCAAAGGTAAAGAAGCCCATAACGTTGGGGCAGCCCAAAGCGTTACAGAAAGCACAGGAAAGAGATACAAGGAAGCAAAGCAGAGGTTATGCTTTTCTGAGAAACTCAGAAAAGCGAGCGGACTTAAACAGAGCTCCTGTCTAGGGCCAGGTCCGCAAGCACTGCACTAGGGGGTGGAGATTCTGGGGAGGAAAGGTTCATCTCATGAGTGCACTAAGTGTTCCGTCCATCTCTTTAGCATGACTTAAGGTGAACCTGCCTTCCTAGGGGTGGTTCTGTGACCAGGTGATTAGCCCAGTGATACTGGGTAGTTGGGGTCTTTATCTAGACCAGAGATTTTTTATCCTCTTGACCAGATTTTTCTTAAGGGACTTTTTTTTTTTTTTTTTTTTTTGGTTCTGTAATAAGAGGATCAAGGCCTTTAGTACATAGGCCTTTAGGATACAGGGCCTTTAGGATGCGGGCCTTTTGTATAGAGGCCTTTAAGATACAGGTCTTAAGGATGCAGGGCTTTTACTAGACAGGTCTCTGGTATACAGTTTTTTAGGATGCAGATCTTTGGACTCTAGTCCAAGTCTCAGTCTGCTTTCCTGAGGTTGCTTTTCCTTGATATGGAAAGGCTAATCTGTCACTGAGGAGGCTCTGCCCAGGTAGTATCCACTAGGTCAGGATGGCACCTGACATACCATTCTATATTCTATAGACATTGAGTTTTAGCCAGAGGAGCTGTTATCCCTGACCTTTGATGAGGAGGACCTCTCAGCCTCTATCCCTACCATGGCATACAGGACTGCAGAAGCCTCTAACCTCATGCTTAGGTAAGTGTTTGGTTAGTTGATTGGTCTGCATATCAACTATGGAAAAGAGCTGTGGAGTTGGCTGTCTGGGGAGAATGAAGAGGAATGGGGAAGGACGAACCAGGCTCGCTGCTTGCAGGTGACAGCTGTGTACGGGGGGTAGAGGTGCTTTCGTGGTGTTGTGGGAGAACAGGGGTGATACTATTAACCAAAACCATGGTCAGAGAACATTCTCTTGGTGAGCTAAGATGTTGCTCAGGCGAATGTGAAGGAAGGTTGTCCCAGAACAGGGGTCAGCTTGAAGAAAATACTGGAAGCTTGGGAGTCAGTACGCATGTTGATGTGACTAGTGTGGAGTTTAAAGGAGTTGAAGAGAGAGAAATACTGTGGAGATGATGGAGGTCTGATCCCGAGGGTCTGAAAGCATAGATTTACATGCTGGGGAGTGTGTGTGTGTGTGTGTGTGTGTGTGTGTGTGTGGGTGTGTGTGTATGTGTGTGTGTATACTGAGAGATGGGTAATAAAGGGGGAAACAGCAATTAAGAAATTCTCCTTGCTTGTTGCATAGAGGATGAGTTAGAAGACAACGAATTTGAGATTATAGCATTGGTCAGTAGGTGAAACGGGGAGAAAGAGCGCCCCCTAGAGGGTTCTTAGTCTCATTCATAAAAGAATTTAAGAATGGACCCAAATGGAAGCTTTAGAATAATTTTATTAGAATTTTAAGGAAAATCCTCAGGGCAGGTGAGCTGGTAATCTCGCTAGCTGCCTTGAGGAGTAGAATGGAAGGAAGAAGGAAAGAAATTCATGAAGCCATGTGGGTTTAGAGCCTGCATGGAGGTCAGGCACATGGCTGACTAGTGGCTGGGACAAGGAAGCTTAGAGAAAAAGTAAAGAAATACAAGATGCTAGGGTAGCCCAAAGCATTAGAGGAAGCATGCTTAGAAAAGGGATATGAAGAAGAAAAGGAGAGATTACACTTTTCTGAAGAATTCAGCAAAGCATGCAGATTTATAGAACCTACATGTCTGTGGCTGGGTCTAGAAGCTCTCCTGTCAGACTAGAGATTTCATAGTCTTTACCAGTTAAACTTATAGGGCTATTTGCTACTCTAACAATGAAGATCTAGACCCAAGCTCCATGAGAGCTGGGGGAGGACCCTTGTCTCAGGAACTTAAAGGATCCATTGGTAGGTGCTTAGGAGTGAAAACTTCTACTGGTAGACAAAGAGTGGATTGGGCGATACTTAGGAAGGGAAAATCCTAGGCTTAGCATCCCAGTCCTGTGCAAGTAGAGCGAAGCCCTAGGGGAGCGGGAGATGAATCTGCTTGGCCAGGTTCATCAGAAGGTCAATGGTGGTTTTAATGGACAGGAGTGAACAGTGATTCAGTGTCTCAGAGATACTTCTAGTGATACAGGGCGCAAACGTGGTCCCCTTACTCTACTTCATAAAAGGAATTAAGAATGGACTCAAATGAAAGCTCTAGGACAATTCTTTAAGAATTTAAAGAAAAATCCCCAGGGCAGGAAAGCTGTAAATCTCATCAGCCGCCTGGAGAAGAATGGAGGAGAGAAGGAAAAAAGCCGTAAAGTCATGTCTGTTTAGAGCCCACATGGAAGTCAGAGTCATGGCAGACTGGCAGCCATGTGGTGGAGAAGGGAAGGGACCTTTAGAGAAAAAGTTAGAAAGCCCAAAATGTTGGGGCAGCCCAAAGCATTAGGGAAGGCATGCTTAGAAAAGAGATATAAATAAGAAAAGGAAAGTTTATATTTTCTGAAGAATTCAGAAAAGCCTGCACACTGATGGAGAACCACAGGCCTGTGACCCCATCCAGAAGCACTAACCTAGGGACCAGGGAATACTTAATGTACTAAGTATTCTGCCCATCTGTTTAGCATAACCTAACGTGAACCCACCTTCCTAAGGGTGGATCTGTGACGAGGTGATCTGGAGAAACTGGAAAGTTCCGGTTCCACCTGGGTCAGAGATTATAATTCTCTTCACCAGTTATAAGGGGGATTTTTTGCACTGTAACACTAGCCTTAAGTGAATTCTCCTAGGGCAGCTCTTGCTGTTTTCTAGTCTCTACTTGGATCAACCCCTGATCGGGAGGAGAATGAATTTATGTTGATGTAGTGGAGGGGTTTGCATCTGTGCCCAAGCTTAAGGACTGCTGAGGCAATGTTGGGGGGGTGGGGAGATGCTTGCCATGCAGCTGAGATTAAAATCAAGAATTAAAAAATAATGCCCTTGCCAGACCTGTCAGGGGACAAGAGGAATAACTTCAAATCAAAGTTGATCTGGATCTGAAATAGATTTAAACCAGCTCCCTGAAGCCTGGGCAGGTTTTTTTTTTTTTTTTTTTTTTTTTATCAAAACCTGTGTTTCAGGTTCCTTTTGTTAAAGAAATGCCCGTCCTTGATGGAACACCAAAACCTCATTAAATTGCAAACACTGGACTATAAAAGATGGAGAATGAGCAATTCCACTTAAATTGTAGCTCTCCATGCTCACCACAGAAGGACAAGGAGTTCTAAAGGTCAGTGCTACACATGGCATGGTATTTTTTCCTTCTAACACTAAACAGGTTTGGAAAGTGGACTCCGTGTGTGTGTGTGTGTGTGTGTGTGTGTGTGTTGAGAGAGAGAGAGAGAGAGAGAGAGAGAGAGAGAGAGAGAGAGATTGAACCAGTTTCCCAGAGTGAAAATTTTTTCCTTCTGCAGAAAGTGTACACACACACACACACACACACACACACACACAGAGCGAGAGCGAGAGCGAGAGCGAGAGAGAGAGAGAGCAAGCGAGAGAGAGAGAGAAACAGAAAGCTGCTAACTAGTTGTCTAGCTATTTGTGGACATTTCTTTTCATCTTGTCATATCTTTTGTGCTGTTTGAAATGTTTGGAGCTTAAGAGTGGAGGAACACTCAGTGGAGTCCAAACTTTCACTAAAAGAAAGAGGGAGGTAGCAAAGTTCTGACAAGTGTGTGTTTAAGATGTTAGGGCCAAATGCTGCCCAAATACCAAGCAGAGGAGTGATTTATTTTTAGCTAAATGAAGCAAATATGCCACACTTCTATTAAAAATAGTTGAGAAGATAACTCAGAGGAAACTAACCTTTTTTGTGTGTGAAGAGGCTGTGGAGAGACACAAACGGACTTTAAGAAGGGGCCTCCTTCCCAGGCTTGGCCAGAGTTCTTTTGTGCCAGTCCATTGGAATGCTAATTTCTGCACCATTGTCCTGCAGAAGCCACTCAGCTTTCTCGCCCTGGAAGCCCTTTCTCACTCTCTTGTCTTTGGTGGTCCTCACCAGCTGCTTCTATTAGCTTAGAGCCTCAGGAGGTTCTGTTTCCCTGGATGTTGTTTTACCAGACTTCGTTTTGATTGGATCGATCCCCCTATTTGATTTTCATTCCTCCTTGCATTCTTCAACAGGGGTTAGACCACCAGATTATGGCTTCCTTGTCCAAATTAGAAACTCAAAGTGGACTGTCACAAGGATCCTGTGGTTCTTCTGCCTTTGACATCCATTTTGGACCGAATGGAGATTGAAATCTTAGCAGGAGAATCTCTTTAGGGACTCTGATGTTTTTTCCTTTAAAAGGAACCAAGTTCTGAGTTAAAATAAATACCTAGACTTCAGATGAGGCATCAGAGAATCAACCGAGGACCCAAGTCTTTGTTTCTCTGGCTGGCTGTGTGCACCGTAATTAGGGGAAAAGAGGCAAGGGAATTCAGCCACTCGGTTTTCTTTTCAAACTGGATATTAAACATAATGCTCAGAAAGTGCATTTGAAAGACTTCTCTGGGTGCCTATGGTACAGTGTGGCAGTGACAGATGGGAAGAAGCCGGAGATGCAGGTGGGCTCTGCTTGATCAAGTCCTTAAATACCAACAGTGTGTGGTTTGCACATCTCTGGTCCTGAAGGCTTTTTACCTGGCATTACAGCGGCTATGCGCTACTGTTTGATGCATCAGGAACAGCTGGTATAGGGTTACAAGGTAGCATGGGCAGAAGACCCTGAGCAAGAGTTAGCCAGTCTGGCTTCTGCAGCATCTCCTCTGAGGACCTCTGTTTTCTTATCTGTAGGGAGAACCCTTGTTCCAGTAGCTTTGGCCATTAGAGAAGGTGGAGGTCTAGCATTCCAAGCCACCCAAAACATAAAAACTTAATACAGTTGGTCAGGTCAGTCACCTGACTAAGGGACCACTCCTCAAGAAGTCAAGACCCCTCTTGGAAAGCCAATCCACTCTAGGCTTGCTAAAGAGTTAGGAGGAATAATTATCCCTTTAATGAGATAATGTGCTTTTCCTTCCCAGCATTCCCACCCCCTAGAGCTGCCCTGAGATTCTGTTGGGTTGACCGTCTTTTCTGAGGTCTGTCTTCCTTTTTCTTCTCTTCTGTCTCTTTCAGGCCAGTTGGTTGGTGGAAGGCATGACTGACTCTTGCTACCCTCCTTTTATGGAGTGTCCATAGTTGAGTTTGTTTGTGGCGATCAGAGCAAGCAGGTGAATCTAAGCTTGAGAAGAAGGCATCTGTCCACAGCTTGCCAGTCTAGCTTGTCAGGTGGAGGACAAATCCATACAACAGAATCTATAATAAATGCCTCTCTAACACTCACCCTCTGTGGTCTATGAAATTCGTTCTTTAAATTCAAGAGAAAAGAACCCAAAAGCTACTGGTTCAGGGCAGCTTTGGTGGCTGAGTTTTCAGAACCCCAGCTCCTCAAGTTCTCAAAGATACTCCAATATTCCTGTATCATCTTGTCCTAAACCACAGGTTTCCCCAGGGAACATTGGGTTCTAGGAAGTGCTGACCCTGTTTAATAAACCTCACTTTTCTGTTACTGTCTCTTATAAAGTTCAGTTATTTGCTTTGATTATATTTATCAGCTTTTATAAACATGCCATTTGTATAAGGCTTGTTGGTGAATGCATGTTTCTTTTACTTGCCTGTCATTTTATTAGCCACCATTTACCTAGTGCCTGGCATGTAGCTTGACTTGAAGAAGTACTCCTATTTGTTGATTGAATTCAAGGTCTTATCTATCACCCCGAATGAACTTTGGTAAATGTATTTATGACCCAGTCTCCATTATTGCACACTTCAGGCTAAGACAGTGGGGGTGCAGTAGAGGTAACTATCTCTGCAAGAGATGATGTCAACTCTCTGAACCTGGAAGAAGGTTTGAAGTCCATGTGGGCATTTAGGCTTCTTATTCCTTCACCTGATTTATATATGATGCTGAGGAATCTTCAAAACACTACAGGTTAAAATGATGTAGCTTTGTCTTTCCATGACGAAAACAAGACCATAAAGAGTTTTCTCAAGATGTCAAGATCTGTCCATTTAGAGCATAATTTTCTGCTTGACTTGGGGTTTAGAATTACAGGGCTAAGTTTTACTCCATGGGTAGTTAATCTTGGTTGTAGACTTAATTGGGTCTGGGATCAACTAATAGACAAGCCATTGGGTGCACTTGTGAGGAATTTTCCTGATCAGTTTATTGAAGTAGGAAGACCCACTCTAAAGGCAGGCAGTGCCTTCCTATGGAGCCCAGATAAAAGGAAGCCTGAGAGAGAAGATTTGCCTTCACATTGCCCTGCCAAGTTCTTCTACTCTCTTGGCATCTTACTGCTGCTGCTGTTCTTTGCGACATCAGAACCCAACGTCTTCAGCCATCTCCATGTCAGCTAGAGACCTGACCCGTGGCTCTCCAGGAATCCTCCAGTCCTCCAGCAACAGACTGATGGACTGAGAAGCTATGGGGTTCTTAGCCTCCTAGTATGAGACAGTCAGGTCTAGGTCTGAGCTACCTAGACCATGTAATCCAATGTACTATATCCCCTTTTAATATAAAGTCATTCTGTTAGCTCTATTCCTCTAGAGACCCTTGATCAACATAACTCCCAAGTCTACCATCAAGTCATCATGATTTTGACCAAGGAAGTTAACCTCAGTTCTTCATAGTTCCTAGTCTAAAACCTCTTCTGATAATGACTATAACTGTTAGTCTTCTGCAAACCGTCTCTAGACCAGATTTTTCTGAAATAGCTTCTTATCCCATGGGTTTGGGTCATTTTACCTTATGTGAACTCTCAACACATCTGGGCTTTCTGCTTTTTGTTCCGAGTCCGAAGTTTGGCGCTTTAGTTGCCTAAACTGAGGGTATGATCTGGTTGGAGCAAGGATGGGCAGGGCTATTCTTCCCTTGTCTTAGATGGAGGTCCACCATCCCAGATGAGAGAAGCACTATCTTTCACAGTGATAAAATGGGAATTTGAGTCCAGCTCATCGTCAGCTAATTCCCAACCTCCTTAATTCTTAAAGTTAAAATTTTTGTGTCATCCTGGTCAGCCTAGTGATACAGCGTCAAACTTTTAGTTGTTTTCCTATTGATTTTGAATTTATTTTATGGTATCCTGGTGAAATTTCAGGAAAAAATATGGTCTAAGCCACTCAATTGTATTATTCTCTCACTTTGCCAGTTACGTTTGTGGGAGCATCCTCAGGGTAGGATCACTTAGCATCCCTCTTACTGCCTGGTCACACCTCTTCACTTCCCAGGATTCCCAGGTGATGGTTAATCCTACCTTAATGGGATTTAGGGTCATCATGGGAACAAAGCTCTGCACATATCTGTGAGGTCAATTGAGTTAATTGAGGTAGGAAGACTCACTCTAAATATTGATAGCACTACTCCATGGACTGGTGTCCTGGACTGCATAAAAAGGCGAAAGCAAGTTATGTGTTACTTTTCTGTTGCTATGATAAAACACCACGACCAAAAGCAACTTACAGAATAAAGAGTTTAGTTTGGCTTACACTGCCAGAGGGAGAGTCCATAATGGGGAAGGCATGGCAGCAGGTGACCAGGCAGGAAACTGGCTGATCACATTTTATCCACACACAGAAAGAGAACAGGAAGTGGAGTGAGGCTATAAACCCCCAAAGCCCACCCCCAGTGATGTACCTCATCTATCAAAGCTGCACCTCCTAAAGACTCCATCACTTCTCCAAACAGCACCACCAGTTGGAGACCAAGTGTTCAAATACCTGAACCTATAGGGATCATTTCTCATTGAAATCACCACACAAACTGAGTGCCAGCACTCAGCTTTCCCTGCTTCCTGACTGCATATACAATGTGACCAGCTGCTTCAAGCCTTTGCTACTATGCCCTCCCTTCACTGATGAACTATATATTAAAATTGTGAGCCCAAACAAACCCTTCCTTTCACAAGTTGCTTTTATAAGGTCGTTTTTCACACTGAGACAAGTCACTAATATGTGTGCCATGTAAGTGACTATTAAGAGGAGACCTCTGTGCTCATTCATTCAATGATTGGAGAACCTTCTCAGAGTGGAGTTACATATATGAGGGAACAAATGAAGCAATATTTTTCTCCATCCCAGCTACTGTTTATGTCTTTAGGTTGAACTGTTTGCTTCAGGTCATTTCACATCTTGTTTTGTCATCTGTGTTCAATATTGTTGGTTTCTAATGTCTTGGTTGTTATTTGCTTGCTCAGTTCTTCAGCATAACCATATGGCAGGCTCTCTGCAATTTTCTCACTGGTGTGACCCAGACTTTTTCTCTGGTCTTGAAAGAAATACCCTCCTCAGCTTGCTCAGAGCCTGGAGCCTGTTGCCTTCAGTAAAGTGCCACTCAAGCCTGCCTTGAAATGCTAGGTTTTGCTGGGTTTCAGCCGTACAAGGTGAAACTGGACAGCTCATGTCCAACCAAGTGTGATACCTGATATCACAGTGTGTTGTGGTTTACAGCAGAACTCCCTCCAGGGCTGGGAATAAAAAGAACATGTTGTACCTTAGTGGGCAGGGGAGCTGACAGATTTTCATATGTTGAACCAAGTCAGATGCTGAGAATGTGAAGAAGAAGCTGGACTCCAGAAAGAAGCCAAGCCAGAAGTCTCCCAAAGTCGATGAGTGATGATGGTGAGGAGAAGGAAAAGAACAGTAACAGTAGTAATAATGACAAGCACTTACAACTCTATATAGTGGACTGAACACTGTTTTAAACATTTAGCATGTGTTAATAACTTTAATCCACATAGGGATATAGCCCCATTTTAATGATGGCAGCAATGACAGGCCAGGAGATAGGAATGGCTAGGCAGTTTAGGAGTAGGGATCCTTGAAAGCTCTGCAGATTCAGGGAGGTCCAGAATGTCAGAAGGGAGCTCTGGTTTCTTATCTCCTCCTTAATAAGCATCCCTGCCTGGAGTCTACGCATAGGGGTATGGCTCAAACTCCAGTCTAGCCACTAATCCCTGATGGTGAATTGTTACTGTCCTCCCCTGGAGCCAGCTGGAGGGGGACACAGGGGCCCTGCCGAAATGGGGGTGAAAGGCACGGAGTCATGACACAGACACTGGGAGTTGGATGAAAGCAAGCAGAGAGCAAGCTGCTGCAGACTCATTTATTCTGGGAAGCGGTTGGGGTTATAAGGGGTTGGCTAGCCAATCATGGTTTCCCACGCCGCCTTACGATATCCAATGGCAGTCTGTCCTGGGCAGATCATTTCTCAGCAGGTTGTCATTGTCACACCTGACTGTGCTGGGCCGTCACATATGCGGAAGCCCTTTCCCCATTTCTTATGGCAGGCGGCCTGAGCTGGGCCCAGTTCTTTGTTATGCCATACAGTGAATAGCTTAGTAACCAGAGCTCTGGATTTTCATGGTCCAAATGGGTTATTTCTTCCAATTTTAGCCTGTCTCCTAAATGATGTTAGGGTTACCTCTTCAGAAGGGAGATATATGTTACAGTACTTTTGGAGGATATCAGGGCTCTGTTTGAGGTACATTAAGGGCTTGGACAAAAGAATGGAGTTTACTTCTGGTCCTAGGTGGAGGCATGACATACCATTATCTCTTGCCTTAAGAGTTAATTCAGCTCAGCCTTCCAATCATCTGGTTAGTCACCTGGCCAACAGACTACCACTTAGGAATGTTGAGTCACCTAAGGCCAGGCTAAAGATTTGGAAAGAATAATTATCCTCTTAATGAAATAGTCCCCTTTCTTCCCAGATAGCCACCCTGGGTGCAGTCACAGAACTGTCATGTATCTCTGTTAACTCTGCACACTTGTCTGAGTCCTAACTCAGAAAAGCATCTTGTTTCCTCTTCCTTCTTCTATTTCTTTCTTTTGGAGACTGGCCAAAGTCCAGGAAGGTTTTCTCTGACACTTTGGGCTTCCTCACTCTTTCTCTGAAGCTTCTCCCATCTTTCCATATGGCTACTTGCTGGACCTCTGTCAATGAACATGTTAGCCTAAGTCACAAGGCATGGCCTTCTCTCTTTCCATTTACCAACTCCCCTCTGGAAGCTGCAGAGATTTCCATCGTGCTTGCCCTGTTATTTTTCTTTTAACTGCTGATAAAATTGTTCTCAAGCTTTCTTCTGAATCTGTTCTTAAACTATTTTATTAGCAAGACTAAGAGTCCAAAGAGGGGACCCCAATTTCTCTTGTAACATGTGGCAGCCCAGATGGGACTCCCTAGTATTTTTAGTAGCAATAATGAGGAATCAAGAGGTTTAACAAACAGAAGTCACTGCTTAGGGAGGTTGAGGCTTATGACTCAATTGGATG